AAAGAAAGAAAGAAAGAAAGAAAGAAAGAAAGAAAGAAAGAAAGAAAATTGCCTCTTCAAAAAGCACCTTTGACTGAGAATCTCTATAGACAAAGGTAGAGTTGTAGACTGCCATGCCTGACCATATACAATAACTATTGGAGCTGGGAAAGTAACCTGACTAGATAATTCCACCCAATTATTGTCTCCAACACAGCTTCAGATGGTCCTCGACTTAAAACAGTTCATTTAGTGAAGATACGAGGACACTGACCTACAGCTGTTTTTCACACTTATGATTGTCGCAGCATCCCCATGGTCACGTGATCGAAATGCAGACGCTTGGCAACTGATTCATATTTATGACAGTTCCAGGGACATACGATCACCTTTTGTGACCTTCTGACAAGCCATGGGAAAGCCAAGTTTGCTTAACAAGCGTGGTACAAACTTAACTGTGGCAAGAAAGGTAAAATGAGGCAAAACTCATTAACTGTCTCACTCAGCAAAATAAATTTGGGGCTCAATTACAGTCATAAGTTGAGGACTACCTGTACTTCCTTGGGGTAGCAATTACCAAGACTGGGTTTATCTTCTCTAAATATGCTGTGTCACATTTATCCTTGAATAGAAGGTAAGGAAATTCTATGTAACATATATAGGAGTACTTCCAATATTTGGATAGAAAGATAGGGTATAAATCAAATAACATTAGTGGCATCAATTGTAGAGGAAGATTGGATTGTTGGGTGACTTGAGATGAGTTCTTGAGAGTCAGTATGGTCTCCTGCTTAAGGCATCAGACTAGAAAGTAGGACACTGTGAGTTCAATTCCTGCCTTAGCCATGAAAGCCAACTGGGTGACTTTGGGCCAGTCACTCACTCTCAGCCCAACCCACCTTAGAAGTTGTTGTTGTAGGGAATGTTGGAGATGTGTTTTACTGCCTTGGGTTATTTGTAAAAATAATAAAGATGGGATATAAATAAAGTAAAATAAAATTTTAGTTTCTAACCCCACTTATGTATCCCACCTGTCTTGGTTTTCTCTAGCCAAAGTCTACAGGCCAATCTCCAGGAAGCTTGCTCATTGAAAATCTATGCATGAAAGCAGTCAACCAGTCAATAGGTAAAGGATGCTGTTGGTTATAAAATACATCTCTAGCAAAATAAGGGGTTTTGTGAGAAGTCGGATGGAACCTGGTTACCTCATTGTCAGCTTTAAACATGGAATCCCTCCCAAGCAATTGATCAGGGAAGTTTTGAATTAGGAATTGTTGATCTTTTCTGTTACATGTTTATCCTGCAGTAGTACTGTGTGTACGTTTTTCATACGAGCTTCTGTGCAAAGTTGGCTCACTGCCATCAAAGTAATGATCTATAATGGCAAGTGATCAGTTAGGTCATGCACATAAGAGGATCCTGGATTCCTTCCTATGCAATGCTTGAGTAATGAGAGGAGAAAAACCTTTGCTTCCGATTACGGACAACTGCTATGGGCAAGATGGATCTGCTTGAAAATGAAACGGTGTCTGCTGGAATTGGACTGTGTGTGCAATCAACCTGCTAAAAATGATAGAGAGAAGAATTTAGGAGAAAATAGCAGAAAGAAACTCCTTTCTCCTACTTTGTTTCATATGTTCATAATCTTTTCTTGCTAAGTTTGGGCACAGAAATATCAGTAGGTTTATCAATATAAAACATTCTTAGAGCAAAATTTGTTTTATTCATCACTCAAGACAGCAGTTTCAATGTAACAGCCTTCTGCAACCGGAGTGCCTTCCAGATATGTCAATTTCAACTTCCAGAATTCTCAGTAGAAATTGTGCCTGGGAAATTCTGAGAGCTGAAGTTCACATGTCTGAAGGTTGTATTTGCCATTCTTTGCCCTAGTCATCTCGAGGGAGGTAATATTTGTATGTCAATCTCGTGCTGCCTGGGGAATTCTGAGAGCTGAAATTCATGCATCTTCAAGTTGGCACGGTTGAGAAACACTGCTTTAACAGTTTGCCCAGTGACTTCTTTGAATTGAATTTAATTCTCTGTTAGCCATTAGTGTGACAAGGACAAGTCGGGGTGGCCATATAAATGGATTAAATAAATAAGATGGTTTGCTTTTGCAGGAAGGGCAATTCGGCATCAAAAGGACTTTGCCAGTATTGTGCTTTTAGATCACAGATACACACGCCCAGCTGTTCTCAACAAACTTCCTCAATGGATTAAAAGCAGAACCCAAATCAAGGATAGGTTTGGACCGGCTTTTGCAGCACTAAGAAAAGTAAGTCCCAAATCAAACTCCCATTTGCAAATTCCTATGAAATGATATCATCCTAGAGGGAATCCAGGCATCAATCAATCAAAGCTAGACCTTTTTAAGATTCATTTTCCTGCTGTTGAAATGTGCTCATTATCTGGATTGACTTTCGTCACTATATGCTTCATGTAATCCCTAATTTCTGTCTTGCAGTTCCATTGGGAAAAGAAATCCAATTCCATGCCTGTCTCTTTGTGAGGAATAAGAGATCTACTCAAAGCTGCTACCTCCGCCTGTGCAAAATGTCTCCTGTGTATTTAAATGCATTATACTTGTATTGTGTGATCTTAATCTTGAGTATGTTTTTTTCTTCTTCTAGTCACTAAAATAGTTTTCTGAACTCACCATGCTAAACTAAATTAAGGTTGGAAAAGGGGGTGCTTTCTTCTCTTTATGGTGGAAATTGAGTTCTCCACTGAAAAGATTTGGATAGGAACATTGTTTCCCCTCTGTTTCATTTTGCACACTAGTGCCTCTTGGATTTTATTTTGAGGTTATAATACATGCTATTCAGAGTTCAAGGCAGGTGGTTAATAAGGGTGTGCAAACATTTTGACATTGAACCGGAGCTTGAAGTGGTTATTTCAAGCTTAAATTAGCTTGTTCCAACCATTCTGAATGCATTTCACACTCAGAAACTGCTATTTCAATTTTGAAATGTTTTCTATGCCACCAGCAGTCATCATTGCTAAAATCTGCGTATGGGATATAGTCGGTTATAGAGTCCAGGTTCTCATTTCTACTGAACCGTGAGACAATTTCAGCTTTCTTTTTCTGCCAGCATCAAAACACGGCTCACACTATAAAGTAAAAGGAACACACCTGCCATGGCTGTGTTTCTCAACCTTTGGCCATTGTTAAGATGCATGGACTTCAAATCCCAGAATTCCCTAGCCAGCAAGGTTGCTGGCTGAAGAATTCTAGGAGTTGAAGTCCATGCATTTTACAATGGCTGAAGAGTGAGAAATGCTGCCAAGTGGTGTATTAGGCAGGAAAACTAGTGGTGCAGGGATCACTTTTAACTTTTGAAGCACTACACTTTCCTTAAACCCTTCAGCCAAGGTGGTTTGAGTTTGCTATCCACCCTTAAGCAAAAGCTGTTTACATAGGTTTACTGTTATTGGTAAAAAAAAAATAGCTTTGGGAGGATTGATGGAAAGGAGCTTCTAAGAAAGCACTTTTTAAAATGTGCTTTGTAGACAAATGGTGATTAAAAAAAAGCTTCATCTAAAAGGGCTGGGCTACATTTCAGATGCAGAGGCAAAAGGGGGTTGAAAAACTGTAGGTTAGATACACGTTGGCAACACTTCAAAGCAGTGTTTCTCATTCCCCAGTAAGTTTTAAGATGTGTGGAGTGGGGAATTCTGCGAGTTGAACTTCCCGACGTTGAGAAACAGTGCTTAAAACCAAAGGCAGCTTGCATGGTTCTAGGTAGGGAAAGCCTGCAGGCAGGAGCTGCCCGAGAGCTTCAGAGCATCTTTTTTAAACCTTTGAATTGCTGCACAGCTACATTACCCAGTCCTTTCCTTTTTTTAAAAAGTACTTGCTTTTGTATCTTTTTTTTTTTTTTGCTTACTTGCCTGAGATAAAAGGGAGACAGTTTACTACCGTGTTTCCCCCCAAAATAAGACCCTGTTTTATTTTTATTTTTTGCCACCAAAAAAAGGCACCAGGTCTTATTTTGGGAGGGAGGGGATTTTGTCCATTGACTCACCTCACTTGTGTGTCATCTCCCAAACTGCCTCTCCGCTATCAGAGGCCTTCAGGGAAGCCTTGCTGGCTGCAGAAGAAACGGGCCGAGGTGTGCAAGGCCTGGCAGCAACTATCCAAAGGTAAGTAGTAGGGCAGCTCTACCCCACCCCACAACCCCACCTTAATTTTTACCCGTGCACTCTGGAGAGGGTGAGGTGTTAATTTGGGCTTAGTTTAGGAGTAGGGCTTATATTGGGTGCATGTGTAAAAAATCAAGCTAGGACTTACTTTCTGAGTAGGTCGTACTTTCGGGGAAATACGGGCAGCAACATTTGCAAGCCAGAGAGGAATTATAGAACTATGGCTCAGCGAGCATGGAAGACTCGCTTAGGTGGATGTCCTCCGAAACATTTCCACCGACGGGCAAAGATAGCCCAGAACAACTGAACTGCTTAGTCCAAGTAGTCCTCGACTTACAACAGTTCATTTGGTGACCGTTTGAAGTTACAACAGCACTGCAAAAAAGGGACTTGGGACCGTTTTTCACACTTTCGCACCATTGCAACTTCCCCAAGATCACGTGATCAAAATTAAGATGCTTGGCAACTGACTCATATTTATGACGGTTGCAGTTTTCCCGGGGTCACGTGACCTTCTTTGCGGCCTTCTGGCAAGCAAAATCAACGGGGAAGGCAGATTCGTTTTGCAACCGTGTTACTAACTTAACAACTGCAGGGATTCACTTAACGGTGGCCAGAAAGGTCATACCATGGAGCAAAATTCACTTAGGAAATGTTACACTTAGCAACATCAATTTTAGGCTCAATTGTGGTCGTTAATTAAGCTGAGGACGACTCGTATTGTCTTAACACACTGAGTTTCCATCCTGATGCTGCAAACAAATACCGCTTTCCACAACAAGAATTTGAAAGTAAGACAACCCGACAAGGAAGGTAAAGCAAAGTGCGCCTTTGTGTGAAAGAGGTGAATATATTTTCCTATATGCAAGCTAATAATGCACCACCCTCCATTCCAGTTTTGTCCCTTGAAATGGGTTCTTATTGCACACGGATGTGAAAATGGGCTTCTTTCAGGTTTCCGTTTAGGGCATTCAAAGCAAGCAGTAGAGTAAAATGCTTCTTTGTATATAATAATTGCACCAAACAGCCAAATGACCTTCTTTACAGAGCTGAAAGGGGGTATGAGAGTTGAAAGAAAACAGAAGCCGTTCTCAGCAGTGGCTGGGTACCCTCTGAAACCTTCCAGTTCCCACAGCAAACTGAGTCTTGCTACAGATGCCAGATGGCCAAACGTTTTCACGTGCCATGTTCCACCACAGAGGCTCTTTCTAAGATGGAAATTCACTCTCATCCTTGAAGACAAATGGCTCGGTGCAGATTCTTCTGTGTGCGTAATTATATTCATGTTGCTGCTCTGGATTGAATGGCAAGATGGCACCATCCACTGTAGTAAGTATTCCAAAAAAAAAAAAAAAAGGATGGACATGTCAAATAACAAGATGCGCTTCCGTCAAAGCCTCCATATGTTGCCTTCTGAAGTGTCATCTAGGAAGCCCAGTCATCTTCATCCTCTTCCCCAGGTGGCTGTTGTGGGGGTGGCAGGGGTGGAATGGTGTCTGAGATGCGGCCAAAGGCACCAGCTGGAACGTTGGGCGCATTGCTGTCTCCACCAGCTGCTGGCCCTTTGCCTGAGATGCCTGCGGGAGAGGAAAGAAAAAGTAGAATGTGGCGCCACCAAGAGATCCGACACTTCCTCAAATGTCCAGGCCTGTCATCTTAAGTGACAAAAGATGGGGAAGTGCTGGCCCGGCAAGGAGGACCGAGACAAACGGAAGCACGTTTCTTAATTTACTCAGAATTTTTCGCGAAGAATTGCAAAGAAAACTTAAAAGTAAGATGTAAAAGCTGCTAAGGAGGAGACTCCTACCTAGAGCACACATGGAAGCTTAAGGGCAGTGCTTTAAATCTAAAACTCAAAAAGTCAGTTCCAGAGTTGGTTTGAGTATACACACCACATCTATCAATGCTTCCTTAAAGAAACTGCATTTCTCCCCCTTGGATTACTACGATAGGTATATGGAAAATTAGTTGGAATTTAAAAAGTGCCAACAATGTACCATACCCACTACAAAATACCTTGTAGTTTGTCACTGCCTGCTTAACTTAATGTCTACTTTCCTGGGATTATGGGGCACAGAAGGAAGGCATTAGCAGGTACGGGCCTGTGTCTATTCTGAAATACCTTTCTGACTTTGGATTCAAAGTGGTGGATGTTCCTAGAAAAACCACAAGCCTATTGCAAACCCTGTGAAATAACAGTTCACCAAATCTGGATAGCCACGGGGGCTCTGCATTAGATTATCTCATACTTGGGCTAAAACCTGGATCAGATTTGTTTCGCCTGATGGCTTCATCTTAGCCAAAATGAAAGTGGTGGGCTTGATGCTCTCTGCCAGGGGTGCCAAACTGGTGGCCTGTGGGATGGATGCGTCATGCACAGGCCGCATAGCACCCCAGCATGGCGAGTTTGACACCCGTGCTCTATGCAAACCAAACCTTTCAGCCTTCCCTGTGCAGAGCTGATCTGTCGCTCCTATCCTTGCTAGCATTGTTCCCCTAACTAGGAGAACCAGATCAGGTAAATAGCTAGAGATAGAACCATACAATATGATGAACTTTTAAAATGTTAGTGGTTTGATTTGTGTTTGGTTATATATGTTACAGTTTGTTAATTCAGCCCACTTATTTAATTAAGGACTTAAATGGCAAACCTAGAAAATGGGTTGATTCAGTAAGAAGTTAAGTATGTTCCCTGAATGGGATTTATTAACCTTTTTTTCTGAGTGGAGCTCAGAATGGTTTTGATTGTTCTATCTTGTTCCTATTCTTATCTCAAACACTGGTGGTTTTTAATTTTAGAAGCAATCATAAGAAATTCATAACTTAGCTTTTAATCCTAGTTACAGTGAAAAGAAAACTTTTGTTTTCTGCTGATAGGAAATCTTAGCTTTGTTCGCTGAACCACTGGGGAGAAAACCGCAACAAGCTTCTTTACCTTTGCGCCGGAGGACCAGTTTGTTAAAAAGATCTGACATCAGATCTCCGCCTTGCCCAGTAGCTCCCACTGGAGGAAACACAAAAGGAGAAATCAAACACTGAAGACGGCAAACAGGAGAAAATCAGGAATCTGCTGGCAAATAGGATGGATGAATAGTTTTGGATGAAGTCTTCACATAGGATTGTTATCCCAATCTATTCAGCCACACTGGGGAAAAAATATCATAGGCATTCTCATAAAATACAGTAGTTTCTTGGTGGATGCTCTCCATCATCTCTAGACCAATGATCATTACATTTGATTTAATCATCTTACCCAAGGTTGCAGAAACAAACTGCAAAGGAGAATGTACGTGTTGGGATGGATGTGGTGCTTTTTGCTATTTGGTTTCATCATTACATTCGAGTTTTAAAAAGCTTAATACCCAATATGACAGCCATCATTACCCACATGCGGTGAGATTATTCTCTAGTGGTTTGGTAGAACGTGCAAAGAAAACTGGAGGCTGCCATACAGAAGGGTTATCAGACTGGATCCAACCTTGGCAGCTTTAAGACTTGTGGACTTCAACTCCCAGAATTCTGGGAGTTGAAGTCCACAAGTCTTAAACTTGCCAAGGTTGGAGACCCCTGGTCTATGAAACCAGAGAAGGCATCCTACATCTTTTCACCTGATGCAGGGCGCCTGGCTGCAAATAGTGCTGCAAACAGTGGTGTGCTACCTATCACAATAGAGACCCAGGGTACAAAGAGTACCAATTGGGCATACATTTCACAATTATACTAACTAGACTTGAACCTTTGGCATAGTAGTTTCTCCCTGTCTGATTTGGTCTCGAAGGATGAGCATGCCAGAGTCCCATTGACTTAAGTCTACGGACTAACTGCCTTTTCTGCCACAGGGCCTGCCTTAGGAAGATTCTCCCTCTGGAGAGTAGGATTGCCCCGATCCTGCTGACTTTTTAGTAAGGCCCTAAAAACCCGAGCCTAAGGCTCCTGAGTATGTGAAGGGTCCAGTCTTCTTTCTCAGTTTGTTGATGGGTTATTTCCTATGCATTTCAATTTAGCATTTATGGTTGTAATTGTTTTTATTTTTATTGAGAAGGTTCGTTACCCAGAGTCATTTGTCACTTACTGAAATGGGTGGCTAAACAAATTTGTTAAAACATTTTATTAAATAAATAAAATTCATTAAGTGGATAAAAATAAATTAAAAAGTAAACAGATGTTCAGGTGGAGCCAAGGAAATGGAAGACTATGGTATTAAAAAACGAAAAAGCCAACTTGCATTTTCAAGAAGCAGCTCTTTTCATACAGCTTTCATGCTTCTCGATATTACCACATTTGCTAAATTTATTTTTCCTAAGAAAAGTGGGTTTGGGACAGAAACTAGTAATTATCACTATTTAGATAGGAGTCTTATGCAAATAAATAACTAAAATCCCCTTGAACTTGGCATTTGGACATCCATCTTTATATTATATTAGTTTGGTCTAGATTGAGCGAAAATATTTGTTGTTGTCTCTCAGAATGAACCATGTTTGGTGTAGCAATCAAGGGGTGTAGAAGCATGGCGCTCAAGGTATTGTCCAGACTCTGGCATCCATCATCTCTGATTGAGGAAGGAACTGAAGGGAATTAAGGGTCCAATAACCCCTTGAAGGCCACACATTTCTCTGCCATACAGTAATGTATTCTAATAGTCAAAAATACATAATGCATAATATTAACTACCATTCACATGTCTGATAGATGCTTCAAAGTTTGATTCACCCTGATGGTGTAAAGCATGCAGTCAGATCTAAGTACAGGAAGGTGCCTAGGGTGGAAGGAGTGTACCTTGCTCCTTCTCCTTCTGCTTTTTCTTTTGTAGTTTCCTCTCTTTGACACTACGGAGCTTGGCCTTCCCAATGCCACCAGCTTGGCGGATGGATTCCAGAAGAGTGGCCCGGCCACTGGATGGATTCACAACTTCTTTTGGTGCTCCTTGAACAGCAGCTGTAGAAAAGCAAATTCATTGCGATGCTGTTAGGCTACTGACAGAAGATGCCTCCCCTCCCCCAAAAATCTGCTGTTTTGCATTAAGAACTTTATAGTTTGATTCTGTGAGACTCATCTTTTATCAAACCGTTGTCTATTTTCTCAAGTTTTTTTTTTCTTGAGTATTTTAGTTGGTTTTTAATGTATGCTCTGGGAAAATGGGATTTTCCACACAAAAGATAACGTTCACTAATACTAATGTCGGAAGCTCTTCCATAGTGAAAGGATTTGCTGGTGACATCACTGCTGCCCGGGGGACACCTGGTTGAGGGCTCCTGTCATGTCCACATGAGATTGCCCACTGACGTGATACCCATTTGTCTACTTGAGTTGCCCTTTCAAACTGCTGGGTTGGCAGGAGCTGGAACATGTGATGAGAACTCACCCTGTCCTGCAGCAGCAATGGGTCTCGAACGCGAGCCGCTGATTGTCAGCCCAGCGTTCTACCCTTGTGAGCCACCCCACTCCACCATAATGTTCATTTCTGAGACAGGATAATTCTCTTAATGCGACGTTCTCCATTTTAGTATCCTCTATATCTGTGGGACCTTTAGCTTTCATAATTAACAGCCAACATAATTATTAGCAATTGTTCCTGGGGATGTCGGATCTGATAATCAACATTTGGCAGGCGTAAAAGTTTTGGGAAGGCTAAACTAGTGCTTATTAGTTCTGATAGCAGAATGGAACCTGCATGTTCTGATGCCTTAAATGTCTCTAGTCCATCAAGTATCAGATAGAAAGACAAGGAGATGCTTATACACCTTGTGATTTTTTTTTAGCTAGTCGCAGCTGGCTATACAAGAAAGAGAAGCTACTTTAGAGGGAACCTGATCTATTGCAAAAATTTCCACCTTTTTAGTGCTGTTTCCAGGAAAGGGAGGCTACCTGGCTTTCACTGCAACTCACAAAACCTGATATAATGCACTAATTAGGGGTTAGCCAGGAATCAAAAAGCTATTGGTTTGAATCTCAGTCTTTCACACTGCTCCACTTTTCCACCACTCGCAATATAATAGGAAATCAATATCAGTGATGTCTCTTATAGAATGATTGTAAGTATAGTCAAACTAGATCAATCCTGTATCTGCAGCATTTTGAACATTTGCAATGTAGTAACTGTACTACAGTTACTGATCAAAACTATTGAACAAAATCACGCAGCCAGTTCTTCTATTTTCCAGGGCATGTAGATAAATATGAGATAAATATGTTGCATATGATAGCTGGCTGCTATCTCAATAATAGCATTAAGTGAGTGGTTTCCCAGCTTTAATCCTCCAGTCTTACCAGATGGCATGGTATTGCTTCTGTCTTCCCTCGTTTGGGATTCAGAAGGGGCTGGCGCTTGTGGAAGAGGAGGGGGAGGTGGGATATGAGCAGGAATTTCAGGTGGAGGGGGTGGAGGGGGAGGGGGAGGGGGAGGAGGAGGGGGAGGTCCCCCCTCTTGAAGATCTAAAACAATAGAGAAGGGACACAAATTAGTATTCACATATACCGTGGAAATGCTCTGCCGATCTCTAGCTATCTGCTCGACTGTTTTAGAGTTTCGTTCCTCGAGCTTCAAAACTGCATTGTTTCCAATTTGTACCTTCATGCTTTCGAAGGTGACGTACCCTCTTGAACATCAAAAACGTGAAGAGAGTAGCACTGGGTGGTTAATCACCACGGGACTTATTGGCACACTCCTGTGGAAGTTTACGCGTTGTGCTAAACCACCGCGAGTTTGGTTTGCCTTAACATGAAGTGTAACTCTAGGCAACCTGGTCCGTAAATCAGTTTATTGCCTAAGTGAATGTGTAGGCCAGAAGTACTGCAGTACACCGACATCCTTGAAAGAGCAGAAAATCAACTAACTAAGAAGCGACACAACACAGCCGGGGGGTGGGGTGGGGGCTTTTAGGCTGTTGTGTTCAACCCCATGCTCGGTACAGAAATCCAGATTAAAGCATTTGTACTAGTTGGCTGACCAGCTTCTGCTTCGACACGTTCAGTTAACCATCTCCCTCAATAACTGGCTCTGCTGTCAGACTTACTTCTTATGATTAGGTAGCTTTTCCAAGCATTCAGCTAAAATTGTCTTCCTGTCATTTACAGATTATTATTTTCTGTCTTGTAGGATGATAGATAGTGACTGTTTTTCTCTGCAACACTCCCTTCTGATACTCAGTTGTCTTGATTTGGAGCTAAACAATCAATCTCAATCTTTTTGGGGGAGGCTTGGTTTTCAGCCTTAAAGCCTGTTGCTTTATCATCTTGGGGGAAAAGTTTGAATCCTGAAAGACTGGAGCTCTGAACTCGAGGCAGCATTCAAAGTGCCAGATGACCGAAGCATACCGGAATAGAACTATTACTTTCTTTGATTTGGAGAGTGAACCACTATTAATACAATACAAGAACACACAATAGATACAAACTCAAGGTAAACCGCACCAAACTCGATTGCAGGAAATATGACTTCAGCAGCAGAGTGGTCAATGTCTGGAATACTCTACCTGACTCTGTGGTTTCTTCCCCAAACCCCAAAAACTTTTAACCTTAGACTGTCTACTATTGACCTCACCCCTTTCCTAAGAGGTCTGTAGGGGGCGTGCATAAGTGCACCAACGTGCCTACCGTCCCTGTCCTATTGTTTCTTTTTCTTTTTCTTATATGTATCCATTTCATGTATTCATAACTATGTTTATACTTATACCTGTTATCTTATAATCGCTTGACAAAATAAATAAATAAAATAAATAAATACAACCAAAAACTATGTTTTCTTTTCTTTTTTGGCAGCAACATTCATACAGATACATTCATACAAATCAAGGAAATGACTTGGTTCTTCCATAAGCAAATAGATTTATAGTTTCATAAACCAATAATAGTGGTTTATTGTCTGCCAGCTAGATGAATCTCACTGCTTCCTAAGCTACATTAAAAACAAGAAGGATTACTGTCTTCTCCATGCTATTATTTGCAGATGTTCGCAGGGAGCATAAAGGAAAGTGAGAGATACCTAGGGTCTTATTATTTAAGCTAGTGTCAAGAAAGCCAAGAAACATACACTTAAAATGGATTAATAGTTTGCCAATGTGCTAGATCAGGGGTGGGGAACTATGGCTCCTCTATGACTTGTAGACGTCAACTCCCAGAATTCCCGAGCCAGCTGGGAGTTGAAGTCCACGAGTCATAAGGGGGCATTAGTTCCCCACCTCTGTGCTAGATGATGAAAAGCACAAGGATTCTTAAAGCCAAAAAGGGAATAAAAAGATCAAAACATCTCCCCACCAGCAATCAGCACCCAGCTGAACATACATTAACTCCAAGATAAACATCAGGCCAACAATCAAGTAAATAATACCCCAATCAAGGAACTGTCAAACAAGCCAACAGTAAACCAAAGCAGCTCTAAGACCACCTTAGGCCAAGCCACTAGAACAGAGGTCTTCAAACTTGGCAACTTTAAGACTTGTGGACTTCAACTCCTAGAATTCTCCAGCCAGCACAGCTGGCTGGAGAATTCTGGAAGTTGAAGTCCACAAGTCTTAAAGTTGCCAAGTTTGGGGACCCATGCACTAGAATATAAACTGAGAGCAAATCTCACTCCTTATTAGCATTGATGATGTCACCTAGTTTGGATAATGAAACGCCTGTAAGAAAACAAACAAGTTCAAAGAGCCCCAAGGATCTCTTGATTCTTACTGATTACGTGGAGGTTGTTTTTTAGGTGCAAACGCAGGTAACAAGGGCTTGTTTCCCCAAGACTTACAGAGTCTCCTTGAGTAGAGCATCCAGATGGGATGAAGGCAGGAGTCAGGGAAGGGTGTAACATCTGGGCCACTGGGAAGAACTGCCTCATGTGACCATTTGCTCCCACCCGGCTCTGCTTACTTTCTATTGGGCCCTTCAGGAGGAATTAGTACCTGGTCGGAAGACCTCTGTGGGTTCGGTGCTGAAGGTGGGCAGCTCGGGTATAGCAACCCCAGGAGCAGACGGTGCAATGCCAGGGCCAAGGTCAGCGCTATACATGAGGTCTGCAGCAATGCCAGGCAAGTCGGGCAGATAGGATGGCACGTCTATCTCGGGTACTTGCCCTAGGTCTGGTACATAGAAGTAATTTTCAGCCACCTGAAAAATAGGCACAAAATTAGAAACCTCCAGAAAATCCTTTCTGAACTCTTCTGCTTCCACAATTAGTGGGGTTTTTATATATATATATATAAAAAACAGTATAACAAACATTATCAATGGAGACCGCGTAGAGCAAGTGGCCAGTTTTAAGTTTCTGGGTGTTACCCTAAAAGAGGACCTGACCTGGGGTGCCGCCTACATTACAGCCTGGTCAAAAGGGCCCAGCAGAGATTAGACTACCTGAGGCTTCTCAGAAAACAACAACTGAATGAGAAACTGCTGGTGACCTTCTACCGCTGCACCATAGAGAGCATTTTAACATACTGCACCTCTGCATGGTTTGCCAATTGCACAGTGGCAGATAGGAAAGCATTCCAGAGGGTTAACGTCATTGCCCAGAGGATCATTGGTTGCCCTCTCCCCTCTTTGGAAGAGCTTTATAGCTCCTTCTGCCTTAAGAAAGTTCAAAACATTCTCAAAGATCCATCTCATCCTGGGAACCCTTTTTTTGAACGATTACCATCTGGCAGATGGTACAGAATAATAAAAACAAGGACAAATAGGCTGAAAAACAGCTTCTATCCCAGGGCAG